CTGACGTTTGGAATCACAAGAAGACGGCTGGCAGAGGTCGTGAGGGTTCGTAAGGTATAAGCAGTTCCGAAAAACAAGAAGGCCCAAGACCATTAAGACACTTAAAACCATTAAGAGAACCTCAAAATCGATCCTGAGACATACGGAGAGCCAATGCAGCGATTCTAAAACTGGTGTAATGTGCACACATGCTGCTGAGTTTTGTAAAAGTTGTAAGCCTGAAATATTCTTTTTGGGAAGACCAGAAAGCAGGCCATTACAGTAGTCTATTCTACTGGTGATAAAAGCATGCATCAGTGTCTCCGTATTGGCCAGAGAGAGAATGGGGTGGACTCTGGCAATATTCTTTAAATGATAAAAAACTAATTTAGTAATGTTTTTTATGTGTGGGATAAAAGTCAGCTCAGAGTCGAAAGTCACACCCAGGTTCTTCACTTGTTCAGAAGGATTAAAAGTAGGGTTGGGCATCCAGAGGCGGAGCTAGCCTAAATGGCGCCCTGTGCGAGAAACCCCTGTGACCCCCCCCCCACCCCCCCCCACCCCCACCACCACCACCACACACACACACACACACACACACACACACACACAAGAAAAAAATTACACCTACAACTTTGTTTCAAATTGCGTGGAGTGTATTATATATAACAACGTTTGCTAACTGAATACAACATCCAGCTCCTGGCCACCTTCTCACCACTTGTCAAAGTTCTACTGACCTGGGGAATGCCGGCACCTGTAGCCCATTTCCTGCACACGCCTGTACACGGTGGCTCTGGATGTTTCTACTCCAGACTCAGTCCACTGCTTCCACAGGTCCCCCAAGGTCTGGAATCGGTCCTTCTCCACAATCTTCCTCAGGGTCCGGTCACCTCTTCTTGTTGTGCAGCATTTTCTGCCACACTTTTTCCTTCCCATAGACTTCCTACTGAGGTGCCTTGATACAGCACTCTGGGAACAGCCTATTGGTTCAGAAATTTCTTTCTGTGTCTTACCCTCTTGCTTGAGGGTGTCAATGACGGCCTTCTGGACAGCAGTCAGGTCGGCAGTCTTACCCATGATTGCGGTTTTGAGTAATGAACCAGGCTGGGAGTTTTTAAAAGCCTCAGGAATCTTTCGCAGGTGTTTAGAGTTAATTAGTTGATCCAGATGATTAGGTTAATAGCTCGTTTAGAGAACCTTTTCTTGATATGCAAATTTTTTGGGATAGGAATTTTGGGTTTTCATGAGCTGTATGCCAAAATCATCAATATTAGAAACAATAAAAGGCTTGAACTACTTCAGTTATGCGTAATGAATTTAATATATATGAAAGTCTAATGTTTATCAGTACATTACAGACAATAATGAACTTTATCGCAATATGCTAATTTTTTGAGAAGGACCTGTATGTGTGCTCACTGGTCAGTGGATCAAAGAGTTTCATTAGGTCTTGAGTGCATTGCTCAAAATTAATGATTCAGCTTATTTGCGCATATGTAATGACTAAACATAATGTTGGTAAAATGCTTTATTAAAAATGCTATTATACATGTTGTACACATTTGGATTCATTTTTTTCACAATTAACCACTTTTTTATCTACTGTGTTTGACCATACAGTTTTATTGATTTAATTTGTTGCTATTAGTCAGGCTATAGAAGCCAGATAAACTGGGTTGTAGATGCATGTACTGTTTTCACATAAAAATATAAAGTAATGATTGTAAAATGTATTCTACTGAACATAATAGATCATCATTCAAAGAATTAACTGCTACATATTTTCTTCAAGGTAAGCTGGAGCAGAATTCTAGCTTTCAATAAACCACTTTAAAATTGATATTACAATTCGAGTTTAGGGCTTCTTGTAGGACTTAAAGTTATTAAATGCTTATGTTAGAGCAGTGAGTTGCATTACTACAAATGCTCAGAAAATAAATAGGCTACTTTATGAAGGAATTAGGACATAATATATAATATAATATATAATATTATCCAATAATTACCAAAATATCACCAGGGGAAATGTGATTATATTAAATTTTTGTGACTTGTCCCACCATACGTCGTTCGAACTGACGTACGGCGCTGGGATGTTTGGAACTATTGAGAGCTCCATGAACCAAGTGACCGCGAGTTGGCGGGTTCAAAGCGTGTCGCAACTCTCTCTCTACAGCTCTGGCACCGAGTCCCGACTCCCTAACCCTAACCCTTCTCCAAAACATGTTTTTGTCTAAATGAAGGTGATGTTGTTGTTCATAGAAATAAAATTCATGTTGACTTTAAGATTATTTCATCAAGTAGGATCTGTGGTTAGCTGGCTCATTTAAAACATGTCATGTCTTGAAAGAATCGGAATCAGAAATCAGGAACTGGAATCGAAATGAGGAATTGGAATCGGAATCATTCAAAATTAAACGATGCCCAACCCTAATTAAAAGACATTGATAGTGTTTTTGGTAAAAGTTTCTCTCTCTGGGCCTCGGGACCGATGACTAAAACTTCAGTTTTGTCCTAGTTGAGCTGGAGAAAGTTTTCTGCTATCCAGGATTTGATGTCTAAAATGCAGTTTAAAAGTGCATCCATTGGTTATGTGTCATCAGGAGACACAGAGATGTACAACTGTGTGTCATCAGCGTAGCTGTGGAATTCACCCCATGTCTCCTGATGACCCCGCCAAGAGGGAGCATATAAAGGTTAAAAAGCACTGGGCCTAAAACTGAACCCTGGGGCACACCACTTGTAATCCCATGAACCCTAGAAGAGCAGGTATCCAAACTCAACATAAAAGTCCTGTCTGTGAGGTAGGATGTGAACCATCTGTGGACAGCACCAGAGAGGCTGATCTGTTTTAAACAAGTTAAAAGAATAGTGTGGTCTCCTGTATCAAAGACAGCACTAAGATCCAGTAGAACCAACACCGTTACGCTTCGGGCATCATAACTAACTCTACAATCATTTAAAATCTTGAGAAGGGCCATCTCCATGCTGTGGTTTACCCTAAAACCAGACTGAAATATCTCTTGGACATTATGAGTTTTGACAAAATCATTAAGTTGAATTAAAACAAGTTTATCTAGATTTTTGCTTAAAAATGGTAAGTTGGATTCCGGTCTGAAGTTGTTGAAATCATTAAAATCTAAATTGCTCTTCTTCAACAATCAACATGGTTCAAATCTCATCTTAAAGGAATCATAGAATTGCTTAAAAACTCTAGTGGGAATTGGGTTCAACACATGTGGACATGAATACATAGACACATCATTGGGCGCTGGAGAACGTCACCACCATATTGGATGGGTTCCTCACTCTCCAAGTCTAACTGGAGTCAGTACAGAGTGAGCAACTGTGCCCATATTTTGTGCAGCTGACATTTGCAACAGCCGACATACTATTACAGCTCAAGTGGGATTACTATTGACTTTTCCAGCCAACCTGTTGGGGTTTTAGATTTTATTTTATTTTATTTCATTTGTATTTTTATTTTAATTATCATTGCCATATCATGTGTCCGATTTTGTGAAAAAGCCTAATGAAATGTGTTTTTTAGTCAGGTAGAAAGTAGAAACAAATGCACCAGGGGTGAAAGGAGACCCATCCAAGATGGAGGTCCGCTGCTACGCCAGCTCCAACATGCAGCGGCAGTCCATGGGGTGTCTATATGATGTCTGTGGCCCGATGGACTAGAAGATCAAGAGACATTTAGATTATGGAGGAGCTCAGTTGAGGCCTTTGAAAGACATTTTTACAAAGAGATGGTCATGTGTTTGGGAACACGTTAAAAATAGGGGTTCTAATGTTTGGTATCACTGGTGGTGTCGGGGACAATCAGAAGTACATTTTCTTCTTTGTTGTTCTTTTGTTTTTTGTTTGTTAACTGAGATTGAGTGTGGGTTTGTTCAATCAATCAATCAATCAATCGATCGATCAATCAATCAATCAATCAATCAATCAATCAATCAATCGGATGCAGCTCAAAGCGCTGCAGAATATTGAAGAACTACTAAAAGTCAACTTCCTCTTCCCTACCCCCCCCCCCCCCCCCACACACACACACACACACACACACACACACTCACAGTTAGAAGCTAAAATGAAAGGAAAGTTTGGAATTTGATGCATGTTTATGATTCAATCAGAAGTTTAAAAAAAAATTAACAAACTTTTCAAACAAAAACTTCGGTTCACACAGAATCTCCAAAATGTGGGTTGTATATATAAAACAGTAAGCACAAAACTTTCTGTGTGTGTGTGTGTGTGTCTGTCATCCCGCCAACACATCTGCAGGAACAATAATGCCATTTTTCAACGTTCCAACAAACGCGTGCATCTTAACTGAAGCTGAACGGGACCGTCTTCCCGTCTGCTGCTCTGATAGAAAATCCCAGCTTGCTCCTTTACAAGAAAATTAACATAAAGGAGGTACAGTGGTACTTTAATGGGCTAAGAAGTCTTCACTAAAGTATTTAGAAGGCCCCCCCACCCCAGAATACTAACTGGACAGGTTCATCGGAGCATGAAAGAAAAAGCGTAAAGCGGGGGCAGCCAGCTCTTAAGCTCGCACAGAGCGTCATTATCCACCGTCGTTAATTTAATAGTCATTCCTTAGTCAGCCCTGGGTCCAAAGATACGAGACTCCGGCATTTGTTTGTCATTTCCCAAAACAGTTTTAATAAACAGTTAAAATCTTAAATGGCTTCTCGTAGTCTTAATGTTCCCTGGCTGCACTTGCATTTGTTTTTGTTTTTTCTGTTTATATGCACTAGAATTTGATGATTTCTGCAGCCTATTTGCTCACTCCTCTCAGAGTTCAGTAATAAGTTTGAATGACGATGAATGTGTTGGACATGTCCAAACTTCTTTATGTTCTAAATTTGGGACATTTGACTGCAGATGTTTGTGCAAATTGGAGAAAATGTGGAAAAAAAGCTAATTTAACATGATTCTTCAGTTTTTTTTCAAGTGAGGACATAAAAAATGTCCGTTTTATGTCATTTGTGTTCATGTGTTTGCTTTAG